AGTAGACAGAGTCCAAAATAACCCAGCAGTGACTCAGCTGCATGTGTTGACAAATGGGGATCTGCTTCCTCATCAAATACAGCACGAGCCAACAAATCGAGGCTGGGGTATCCCACGCACACGTGGCCTTTCCTTCATGGAGGAGATGTGGCCAGAACTCAGGACAGCTGTGATGGAGGAGCCACTGGGAAGGTGCTGCTGTCTCCAGGCTTGCTTCTTGAAGCTCCAGCTCCCACTCCCTGCAGACCTGCCCCAGACCAGGACCCAGCTGTGGCTGCTGCTGCACCACTCGTTGAGCACTGAGGAAGTGAGCGTGGCATCAGCGTGGTGTGAGCACCTTGGGTGTGCACAGGGAGAGCTCAGTGATGCAAAAACAGTGCCAAGGTGTCACCCTCAAGGCAAGAAAAACCCAACAGACGTTAAACCATCTTACTGCCATTAAGCTCAATAGACATGAATGTCCGTCTGTGTAAGCTTTGCTGCAGGTATCCAGCCTTGACCACAGCCTGCAACCTCAGCTGCACTTCTTCATCCAAGAAAGCAGCCAGTGGAGCTTTTGGCATAGGCAGCACAGCCCTGGGAGAAGGTTCCTGTGGCAGCTGAGAGCCTGAGGAGGGGTCCCTGTGCACACACTGCACGTAGGCTGCTGCCACCGAGCTGTTCCCATGGGACACCTGGACTAAAGTTCCTTCTCTCCATGCAATGTCTCTGGCATCAACAGTGCTGCTACCAGATGCTTTTGGAAACAGCAAATGAAGGGGCAATACTACAGTGTGTAGCTATTCACTATCAACTAGCCTGTATAGAGCTCCTGCCTTTCTTAGCCTCTGTTCAATGATCTCCTCTCCCTGTATTTGTGAATTGCCATTTCCTCTGCATTTTGCTTTTAGCAGCGTAAAATAGTTGGGCTTCACCTCCTTGAGCATGGTAAACTGAGTGACTCAGAAACCTGCAATCTGCTTCAAAACAAAGCATTTAAAATAAAAGATATAAGCAGTAATGGAGCTACTCGGCTCAGGAGCAGAAATGCTAGAGGGTTACTCTTGTACTCACAAACCTTCTAACCTTCTTTCAGCTTTTTTTAACCCCTGCAAATCCGGGGCAAGGCAGGCTGGAAGTAAGAGCTGATGTGTCATTTCAGATATGCTTCCAGTCCAGTGTGCACACCCTGGAGCTGGGAAATGGAAGAGCTCAGATGCCAGCACTGATGACGTGGAAGGGGGAGCCGAGCTCTCACTCCACGGCCTCCAAAGTGCTCTTATTTCTGCTGGTTAAACAGATGCCAGCTTCTGAGGGGATTATGTGTCATAGAGCCTGTTGGCTGTGACAACTAATTATCTCTCACAACAGTTTGGCCTTGAGATTTTCAGCTCAACGGGCATATCAGCAGTGCTGCCATCCAGCACCATGTGTAGCAATTTGTCCCCACTTGGGTTTCCCTGTTCCCAAAGAGGTGGCACCCCCAAAGTACACTGTCCTCCCCCAGCACAGGCTCACACCAGCAGGTCCTTCCAAGCACCATGGGCAGGGAGCACCAGCACTCCAGTGAAACCTCAGAGCTGCTTCCAGCAGAAACCTAGGAGAACAAGCAGCAGCTAAAATCAGCTCAGCATCCAAACAGCAGCCTGGCTGATCCTCCCATTCCCACAGGGTCTTAGTGTGGCAGCCATGCCATGGCAAACTCCTCCAGCTGAGCTTCATAGGCTGCACACACCGACAGGGTCCAGCTCAGCCACAGCCAAGTGCAGGGGAAAACGTATCTGCCACAGCCCCAGTCTCTTTCTAGGGGAGAACAGCCAAAGATTTAAACAGTTTTGGAATGCAGCCTCAAAACCAGCACTGAAAATGTTTTATAACTTCATATAAATTGATGGATGACCACCATCGAGACTCCCAGGAACAGATGAAAAGCAGACCCAGGCAGCTGAAAGAATTTAAGTCATTGAGAAACACACAGAGTGCTGGGAAATACTAGAGGTGAGGAAAGAGATGAAGAGAGGAGTTAACAGAAAAGGCAAAGGGTGTATTGGCAGGCAGGTATTGGAGCTGGGGTGCCCAGCAGCCAGGCTGGAGGAATTGGTGTGGGAGTGACATCAAGGCTCTCAACTTGCAGAGCTCAGCTCACCTGCAGCCAGGAAAGGTTCAGTACTGGGGGTACTGAGTGTTCTTCTGCCAAGCACAACCAGTTAAGCACTGGGAAGCAGGGGCTAGAGAGTCCCCAGCCGAGGTTCCCATGGAGATATCCCAGCTGGGATCACAAATTGGATGCTGTCAGGTAGGAGATGGGATAGATCCCTCTTGGCTCTCCCTCTCTTTATCACCATCATTCTGCCTTCTTGAGAGGCAGCTTCCCCAAACCCCCGATGCCCCAGAGAACTCGGGTGGAGCCAGACACGAGTCTGCATCACAAGGAAAGGGAGGCAAGGCTTTCCAAGCCTCAGAGCCAGGTTGAATGCAGGATCAAATCAAATCTGGAGCTGACTTGCTGCCAGGCAGCCAAGAGGAATGCTGTGTGGAAGAGCCGTGGACTGTGCACATTGTAGTGTGAGTGAGAATGCCCTGAAATCCCAACACACAGCCCAGGGTTTACATGATGCTGCCATTCACCAGCAAATCATCGTCTCCATCACTGCACTGCTGAGGACCTGAGTCCTTTGGCCAGTTTGCAGTAAATTTCTTCATTTGCTGCACTCCCAGTGAAAAAGGAGAATCTCAAAAGCAAGAATAATTAACAGGGAACATTAAATTGAAAAGAGTTCAGTCATCAGAAAATGTAGAAAATGAAGATGGAGGAAGTGATAAAGGACTTCTGAGTACTGCCAAACACTGCAAGAGGAAATGAAAACCCCCCCTCTTACACCTCAACATTTTAATATCACCTTGAAGTACCCTGTTCCTGAGGATGGAAGAGAGCCTGAGTCTGAATACCAGCACTGCAGAACTACCTCAGTCTGGAGGGCCCTCTGAAGAGATGCAGCTGTCTCTTAAATAACAGGAGTTGACACCAGTTGTGAATAGATGAGTGATCGTGGCTTCAGCCATCATAGCCAAGGATCTGATTTCAAATGAAGCCCCATTCATCCATCCAGTGCCCAGTATAGGGTTATTAAAGGAGCTTCTGCCACAAAACCACAATGCCTTTAAATGCTTGAAAAAGGGCACAACAAAAATAAGCCTGCTTAGCTTATATACTTTTCTCTGGGTGATGTGATTCTTGGAATTGTTTAGCAAAAATAAATTATAAATATGATGGATAGGGATAATATGTGATACGAGCAGGGTGAGGTCTGTATTTGACCTTAGTGTAGAGTTTGGCTGTCTGCTGTTCCAGGCTGGTGGGGTAGGCGTGAGAGACACTGGCAGGCAGTTTTGTTGGGTAGTAGAGTGCACAGCCTCAGCTCACCAGGTGTCCTGCTCCAGAGCCCTGGCTCAATGCATTCCCTCCACAAATGGAAAGCCATTCCTGCTTTGAATGCAGCAGGGATGTCATCTCCAGCAGCAGGTCAGGGCCAAGTTCAGGCCAAATGGGATGTGCTATGGCAAGGCAAATGGGGGTGGAGGTTGGTTTGGTTAGTCATCAGGACTAAATTCATGTTCTGTGTTTTAAAAAAAATTGCATTTAGCTAAACTGAAAGTCAGGCATAGACATCTCATGGCCATCTTGAATGAATGGTTCCAGCTCATACCATCTCACACTCACCAGCAAACTCTTACCTGAGACAACAAAGTTTTTTCCTTCTCTGCAACTGTGCAGCTCCTCTTACTACTTTTTATTCTCTGCCTGTTGCATTGGGCAAAACTGCCATCTTCTGGCACCTGAATAGGTACCTTCCTGTCCTGCCACCAGCAGGCCACCTCCTGCCCCACTGCCTCTCTGGGTGACATCCAGGCACAGGGCTCAAAGGAAAAGATCACTCTTCATGCACAGACATGCTCTATTATACCCACAATAGACTGAAAGCATCTCAGAGCATTAGATGAATGTTCCTGGGGCTAGAGGTGGCCATTTATGCCCTGTAATGCACATCAAACCCCTTTTAGGAGAAACTGGAGTGTCTGAGTGCAGGCTTAATGGTGGTGAGAAAGACTCTGCTGTGTGATGCAGGTCTGTGTTTATAATTCATATTAAATGGTAATGCAAATTCCTCTTTTCTTTATAAATTGTTTTTGAAAATTGCCTTGAATGTGGATGGAAAACTGGATTGTGGTCATGTGTGCAAAGATGTTGGGTTCCTCTGCACAAATGTTTCATGCCAAAAGACAGGACTTCCTATCCCAAGTTTCAGCCTAGGGAGGCATTGCCTGTGTTCATAGATTTTAAGCCTAAAGCAGAATAAAGTTACATGTTTTAAACTGTCCAAGCATTTTAGAAAGCAAAATCTCCTCTCTGTTCCCCCAAAGCCCTAGTTTGTACTCCCAGATTATCACTATTTAAGTGGAGTCCTGGATTCTTTCCAAGAGCTGCATCTCCTGCAGCCCCAGCCCTGTGCTGGATTTTGAACTGAAGCAGTGACTCACCTGTGCAGATTCATCTCCCTTCATTTGAGCTGACTGAAAGCAAGGCATGGCATGTCCCTCCCTCCCTTCCCAGCACAGAGACAGGCATGTCCAAAGGGGACTCGACCTGTATGTTCTGGGAGCAAGACCTGCATACTCCAACCTCTTATCTGAATAAACCTTTGCAGAAAAAGGTGTGTGTACAGGATCCAGCACAATGGACTGATTTGGACCCTTGTTCCTCAGGGAATAAAAATAGCAAGTTAATATTAAAACTATGTATTTTCACAGATTGCAGGCAGGAATCACAACATACCATGCTTAATTTCCTGCTTTCAGTTCCCTATCAGATTTTATGCTTAGCTTACTGAGGTTTGTTTTTCCCCAGAATAGGCCTTTTTTTTCCTTTAGCTACAATACATTCAGCCATGAAAACTGAGATTGACCAAGATTAATGTGTGGCTTATTCTTAGCTGTTTTCTTTTTCTTTTCCCTTCCTTTAGCTACCTAGACAGCTTAGATCGAATTGGAGCTGCAGACTACCAGCCCACGGAGCAGGATATCCTCCGAACCAGGGTCAAAACAACTGGCATCGTAGAAACCCATTTCACATTCAAAAACCTCCACTTCAGGTTAGTCTAAAACTATACAGTAAATTTTCAGAACAACTATTTACCACAGGGTTTCCCCATAGTTCCTAAAGGAGAAGTTGTTAAATTCCTGGTTAATGCATGGACAGAAGACATAGCATTTTGGAGGGTCAACAATATGAAAAGTTTGGCAATCCTGTCTTGAAAGTCATTGCCTGTAAGATAGAAGCTCGTGGCAGCTTCTTCTAGCCCCAACAACACCTCTTTGTTGGAATATATAATACAAGATTGACCCTCAAATCTGATCAAGTCTCATAAAAGTAAAAATATTTGGCCAGATCTTTTCTTTTAAGTGGGTCAGTCACGTACTTAACACAGTACATTGACCCTCATGATGCCAACCAGTAGAGAGAAGAGGACACAAAGACAGAAAGCCACACACAAACAGTATTTAGAGCATATAAAAGTCAAGAGTGTGTGGTCTCCACCTCCACAGGCCCTTTGGGACCCAGCATGCTGCTAAGGCTCTCCCACAAATCCCCACACCCCTGTCTGTAACTGCTCCTCCTGATCCTCCTCAGCCTCAGGCTCTGGAGGAGAAGACCAAGCTAGCAGTGAAAGACCCACTGCTTTGTGTTTGGAGCCTCCCAGGGCCCTTGTGGTCAGAGAATGCTGAAGTTCCCTGGTAAGCAGGGAGGAGTGGTGATGTTCCTCCCCTGTGCTGCAGGCTCTTCGATGTCGGGGGCCAGCGGTCAGAACGCAAGAAGTGGATCCACTGCTTCGAGGACGTCACAGCCATCATCTTCTGTGTCGCTCTGAGTGGCTACGACCAGGTGCTCCATGAAGACGAAACCACGGTGAGTCTAACTGGGTTTTGGAGGCCCCAGCACCTCTTTATGGGATACTGCATAGCCAGCAATCCTCAGAGATCACCAAATGTTCCCTGGGGTGCTACAGTAATGCGCTTTTGTCCGTGACTCTGAAATCCAGGGGAGAGCTCTCCTCCTTCACAGTCTTTGATGTGACATCTGTGTGCCCAGGTAATGCTTCCTTACACTGGTAAAGGCATAGTGGTTTGCTTCTCCTTTCTAGGCAACTGTGTTTTCAAAATGCATTACAGGACCCTATAACCAGCAAGAGGATACAGCTGGGTGGGCTTTAAAACAGGGAAATAGTCAGGCCCTGGTGCAGAGGTGCAGGACAGCAGAATACACACTGGGCTCAGCCCAGGAATATAACCTATTTCTTCAGGCTACAGAAATTTGTTTTCCTTAGTGAGGATGGAACTGTTTGAGTCCTCAGGTAATTTGCTCTAGGAGAGATTTTATGACTTCCCACTGTGACATTAGGCTCAAAATACCATCTGGAAATAAAGCTGGTGAGGACCTGTGTGCTCCCTGGTATTAGAGTGCAATTAATAGAAGTGAATTGAATACACAAAAAAGGATGCAGTAAGACTCATTACTGTATTCTGACCATTCATTCAGTATGATGGGATGCATGTTTATGGGACTAATGACAACTGTGCTGTGGGCACACAGTTACATTTGTCTAATGAAAAGGAATTGGAAGCCGTACTCAGACTCAGCAATGATTTCATCGGTGCCCAATCTGCAGCAGCAGCATGGAGTGCTCGCCCCTGCCAGCTCTGTCTCTCTGAGGCTTTTTATTCTTCTGCTGATAAAAATGTCAGGCTAGCAGAAAGCTGTGGATAAGGATGGAATCAAGGGAAGGATTGCTGTTAAGTGACGTTTGTCTTGTCCCAAAAAGACCAGGGAGACTGTGGTTTCTAGCCTCTGAGCCAGGTTTATGAGCTCTAGCAAACTGATGAAATCGCCTAGTTGTTTGAATCATTGGTGCCAGAATTCTGGGTGATATTAACATTACCAGCCACAGGACTGGTAACTGCATGAAGCTCTGTCAAGGAGAAGTTCAGGCTGGAAATTAGGAAAAAATTCTTCACCCAGAGTGTGATCAGGCACTGAAACAGGCTTACCAGGGAAGTGGTCACAGCACCAAGCCTGACATAGTTCAAGAAGCATTTTTACAATGCTCTCAGGCACATGGTGACTCCTGGGGTTGTTCTGTGCAGAACCAGGAGTTGGATTGGATGGTCCTTGTGATTCTGTGATCATGACCGTGTCTCCCTCCAGGCCGACTGATACACTCCTGTCAGGTCCACTTATTTATAATCCCCAGTTGTCTCCTCCCTCTGACCCTGGCCTTGATACGTTCAAGGATGTTCAGCCCTGTAGGATTTGCTGGGAAGGAACCAAAATCTCCTGACGTGATTTGAAAAATCCAGCCATTAGCTCAACACTATAGAGCTCTGCAGCTGGGCAGCAAAATCAGTCAGGAGACACAGAGGAACACAGAGGGAGAGGGCAGGTCCAGGGGACAGGGACCAAAGTCGTGATATGAGTAGAGAGCAAGGTGCTCTGTAGGTATAACTTGGATTGTGACACCCAAATTGTGAAGCCAAAGGCAGCTTTTAATACAGGTCATCTTTGGGTGCCCATCAACACAAGTCAGAGCCTGTGATTCAAAGCCATGGAGCACAGAATGGAATGGCCTGAATGCTGATGCCATTTTTTAAATGTCAGCTTTATCTCTGCTTCTCTGAACTGGAGGTTAGAGCATCTCTCCTGGGGAGAGCCCTGCCAGTGATTGTCCCTCACTCAGCACCACCCCGGATCCAGCTCAGCCTCCCCCCTGAAGTGCCACGCTGCAGAAACTGGGATTTATGCATCTCCAACTTTCCCTTTGCAGCAGGAGAGCAGCCTGGTGCAGCTCTGGCACAGCGCTGACATTTGCTTGCTATTTCAGTCCCTGCTCACAACACATTTCGGGGGATGCTGAGCAACAGGAGGGCAGAGGCAGCTGCTGCTCATTTACACATTCGGCGTAAACGGGGAAAGGATTCGGCATCGCCAGCACCACGCCGGCAGGACGCCCCTGCCTAACCCAAATAAACAGCCCTGAGCAAGGGCACCAATGCACTCAGGAAAAAAACAAAACAATTCAGTGGTGTTGGATCTTGCCTGCCCTATTATATCCCCATCACAAATGGCAGGTGGAAAACGTGACACCACAGACCAATCCCGGGAGAGCCCCCAAGCATTTGGCCCCCTCCTTGGTAATGTGGTGCCTCTCCAAAAAGCCAGCAGTAAAACAGCATCTCCTCAGTCAGCTGATTTGCTGTCTGCATCCGTCACATCTGCTGGCTTTAATGACGTCAATCAGCTTTTATTGCTTCTCACTTGGAAAACACAAAGAGGAGGCAGCTGAGAAAGTGAGCTGGATGCTGCTCCTCCAGCTTCATTTTTTAGAGACACTTACTACAGCCCAGGCACTTGCAGCTGTGTTGAGCCACTGAAGGTTTGGGGGCTGTACAGATGGTTTCATGAGTATGAAAGGACTCGCAGAGAGCTTTCATTGCTGGCATGGAGCCATGAGAGGGAAAGAGCCCAACTGTATATCAGGGTCCAAAAAAACCCTTCCAAAGCTGGATGCATGTAGAGAATGGCTTTTCCTCCTGTGCTCAGCACCCTGTTGTCAACAAGCACAGGATTTCACAGGTGCTTTTTGCACTTCTCTTAAGTCAGACTACACTTCAGGTGGAGGAAATTGCAGTTCGGATACAGTCAGCATCACCTGGACCAGGGACAGGCTCACCTTGGTAAGCTCCAGGTGGGACAAGTGTAGGGTCAACTTGTCTCACTGAAAAAAGCTCACAAACGGGTTTATTGTGAATCCTTTCCAAAGAGCTGGTTAAACAAGGCTGGGTGAAACACTCTCTGACTTATCCCTGCCCTTAAAATTCAAACACAGCTCTATGCTTGTAAAGTTTTTTGTCGGTTATTGTGCTCTTTGTTTTAAATGACTGAGCACCCATCCTCCTGCAGCAGTTAAAACAAGACCATTGTGTTTGAAGTTGTCCCTGCTCCTTAAAGGCAGGCAGTCTTTTATAAGGGATGTATTTTCTCTCTAATTTCCCTGTCACAAAGAGCCACACAGCAGGAGTCGAGGCAAGCAAGTACTTCCCTATGTCCAGATCAGAAAGACATAAAGAAAATAAAGAAAACTTTCTGCATCTATGATTTTTAGGCCCATACACCCATAAAGATCACACTTTTCACAGAAGCTCCCAGTACTGCTGAATCCAATTTCTCCCGTTGCTTCCAACACCTTATGCTGCTGTTGGCAGATCTAAACTGTGTCCCTGTGTGCCCAGCTCCCAGGGGAGAGGAACAAGGCATGAGAGAGATTCAAACAATGCCTTCATCAGTCCCATTGCTGCCAGCCACAGCCCAAGCCAGAGCTCATGTGGCAGAATGGTACCCTCTGCCCAGCCCATCAACTCACAAGCCACTGCCCTCAAGGTGTTACACTTGCCTGTGCCTTTACCAAGTCCTTCACAAGGAGCTGCCAGGCCCTCTGCCACATTTGTACACAGTGGGAATATCCTGCTTTAACTGGCAGAACACCTCCCTGGATTATATCTTTGCATAACAAGGCTGGTTTGTCTCATTTGTGACTTATCTTTTTGTTTCATAAGTTGAGGTTACAGAAGGAAAAGCCTCAGCTCTGTAATCTGGGAAGAGAGAGGGGCACTCATATCACTCAGTAACACTAGAGAAGATGATTCACAAACGTAGATTTCCAGTGTTCTTTCCAAATAGAATTCCTTATGGAATTTTTTAAAAAACAACAATGGAATGGGACCTGCCATGGGAACCGAGGCTATCCTCTCTTTTTTACCTTGCAAATTCAAAGGAGTCATGGCAAGAGAGGGAGGTGTTAATGCTGCACATTGCTGCCTCCAAAGCTAAGATATTTAGGTCAACCACATCTAGCCAAGACGTGCAAGTATTGTTTGTGTCCCCATTGCTGAGGGTGGCATGGGTGGAAGGCTCTGTGCTGGGAACCCTTGGTGTGCATTAGTGTTGGCCTGTTGGTTTGTATTGTACAGCATGACCTGGTTAGCATGCTCTCTCTGCTGTCATTGGGCAAGGAAAATGCAATTGCAGTGCTCAGAAATTGCCTTAGGAGAGACAAAGCAAGCCAAAGTGGCTTGAACATCTTAGGAAATATAAGCAGGAGAGAGAATATGGAGTTGTTGTACTTAGGATAACCATCAGTGTCCTTATAGTTCGCGTGACAGCTAGCACTTAATCACCAAGGAAAACAGAAAATATTGAATTAATTGGGTGTTGCAGAAAACACCAGGTCTCCTCCAATGCTCTGGTAAAAAAAAATATGTTTTTTATGCGTGTGTTTCTGCCTGGACAGAGTCTTGACTGCAGCATCCTTTCTCCCTCATGCTGAGTGAAAAGCTGTTTGCTCTTCACATCAGTGACAGGAACACAGCTGTGCAATGACATCTGAACTCAGCTATGAGCAATTCTGTCTCTTGTCCTGTGCAGGAAAAGTTAACTGGAGTTTGAATATGCTTGGGTGAATGTTACTCCTCTGTAACATGGTTGTTGGTGCTACTTTTCTTGTTGGGGTACGAAATATTTGCCAGTGTAAGGACTTGAAATACCAATTTTGAAATAGGGAGTGACATAAAGAAATTAGTGTCTGAAGAGCTCTTCCCTTAATGATAGACCCACGTAAAGTGAGAAAAAGCAGTATGATGGGTCCAAAAGCAGGTGAAATAATTTGTGTCCCTTCATCTAAGAGTTTGAGGAGTGTAACTTTTAGTGTCTCCTAGCAGAATAGGTACATCTGCCCCATCACAGAGAAAGGGGGCCCCAGGCAAGTTCTAAGGGACTCAATTGGTCTTCCACTGTGGATTTACTGGGAGGAGTGGGATTATTTGGGGGATTTAACTTCTCACTCCTCCTTTAGCAGCAGTCTGTCCTTTTATATATGGTACCCAGACACTGCTTCCTCATCCTTGCCTCTGCTCCTGGGTCTGCCTGAGCCGTTGGAGGGCTCCTACAAACATCTATTGAACTAGTAACAGTTGGGAAGGGAAAGGAAAGGGAGACAGTGAGAATTCCTGATGCTAGCCAGCACCAGGACAGCTTGTGTCCATGGGTGGGGTTCCAGAAGCCCTCCTGGGATGCAGCAGCATTTCCCATATGGCATCCAGGTATGACAACAGAAGCATCTGTGCCTGCTCACCAGAATATTGCTCTGCACCTTTGCCACACACAAAAAGCAATTTATGGCTTTGGAATAATGTCATCTTCTGGCTTTGGAATAATGTCATCTTCTCCTTAGTGATGGAGAAGGAAAAGGTGGATTTTAAGACCAAAAAATTTCCCATATAAATAAGGATGAGCGGGCAGAGTAGTTCATTATGTTTACTTGTCTGACTGGCAAAGCTGGAGGAAAAATCAACATATAGAGATCAGAAAGCCAGGTCAGACAGCCTTAGGAAGCTTTGAAACTTGTTTCTGGAATCTGAAAGGAATGGACGTCATTTAGTGTAACCCTCATGTTGTAGTGGGATGTATTGGTTTGTATTGCTGTGGGTATGTGATTCTGTAATTCTATATTCTGGTTACCACTGAACACTAAGAGTTGCTATTTCTTGGGAAAACAGTCTCATCTGCTAACATGCATTAATGCAAATTGATCAAACTGGGTAAGAGAAGTAGGAGGACTTCTGTAAGATCCTTACATAGTCTTACAACTGTAGAAAAGTTGGCTTCACCTAACCATGAATGAAGCCCAGCTCAGACGTCCTCAGCTTCTGTTTCTTAGACAAACCCAATGTCACCCATGGTGCTCCCCAGACCATGAAGAGCAGTTTTACCCCTCTGCTCTCCACCAGGGCTGTGCAGTCTGGCAGCTGTGGCATGAGGCTGCTCAGATGGCTGATGGCTGCTGCAGATGAGCTGTGGGTTTAGCCCACAAGCAGCATTCATGTGTTTCTCCACGCTTTTAGTTTAAATTTGCAAGGATGGTAAAAATGTCATTTAAGATGTTCTGTGAGGGACCCTGCTTTAAAAAATGGTTAATTGTATTTGCTTTCTGTTCCCCTGACCACCCTCCACTTCATTCTCTCCTTCCAAAGGCTTTGGGTATCCAAAGGTCTTCTGCACAAAACCCTTGTACACCAGGTTTCTATGTGGTTACAATTTTGGCACCCCAAGTAGCAAAAAGGAGCATTGCTCTGGGGATTCCCACATCAGTCAGTACCAAATGGGTTAGCAAACAGCAGCCCACAGGCACAGGATGATCCAGATAAGCAATGTGTTGCAACTGAGACCCAATGAGCAAATGCATTTTTATGTTTGTATGTGATTGCGTCGTCCCTGTGTGTTGATGAAATGTCGGGGAAATGCAGGGTCATTCAAGAGAGGGCACAGCAAATCACACGTGTCCTGTTTCACTCTGGGCTGGATCAGGTGTTCCTTTCATCCACGGAGCCTCTTCTATCTGTGTGAAACATTCAGTAGATGCTAAAGCATATCAATGAAAAGGAATGTGTTAATCAGTGAAGTGCTGGGCTCAATTTTATGCCAGCACAGGTGTGAAATGGAGTGGGAGAGGGGTGAAGGCCCCTGGCTGACTCACGTACCACTCCACATTCCCAAATCCAGGGCTGGGAGCAACAGGACATGCTGCACCCACCCCAAAAAACCCTCCAGAAACAATCCCGTGCAGCCCTGTTCTCTCCAGTGTCTCTGTGGTGATGGCTGTAACCATTTCTTACGCACTCTGGCGGGTTTGGGGAGTGCTGTCCTAAGGAGATCCCGCTGGGAAAAGCCGAGGAGCCGGTCTGGTCTGTACCATGCTTTGCCTTTGATAACCCCCTGACTCTCGGGTGTGCTTCGTCCTCACCGCGCCTGCTCTCCGCGCCTCCCGGCTGAGAGATGGCCACGCGACCGGCGTGCGCGCTCCGGCGTCGGCCTCGGCGCCAAACGTCGCCAGCCTCGGCACCTCCACAGCTTTTCCTCGGCCGTCTGAACCTTATCTAGCCAAACAAAGGCCAAAAAATGAGCATTTGAGAGACCAACCAAATTTGGCAGGTATGAAGCTTCTCTTGAACCGAGAAAAAAAAAAAAAAAAAAAAAAAAAGAAAAACCGAATTGAGAGTTGAAAGCAGCAGGGAACATGACACTTGGTTGACTTTGCCGTGAGCTCTTTCCACCACCATAAAGCCATGTGGCGGACTGTGCAACTCTCTAACTGGTCTGGTTTTTTCATTCCTCTTATCTCTCTCTTTTTCCGTGTCCTTTTTGCATGGCCTGTAACCAAAAAGCTGACTTCTCACTGTGCGTACATTTGGATGTATGGCTCTTCTGCTAATCTTCTTCCAGAGGCATGAGCTAACACCAGTGGTAGCCTGACTTCTAGTCTGGTTGTTCTTAGATGTTCTTTGTTATGTTTATCTTTTTTATACTATTTTCTCTTCCTTTTTCACTTTTTTCCCTCTCTGTAAGACACTTTCTGTTGAGCCATCTTCCAAGAGAACTAAAACAAAAAAGTTTAAAAATTAAAAGCCCAACAACAGACACTAAACAAAATAACAAAACCAGGCAAAGGTCACGGCAAGGTCATTTCCAAAATTATGTCAGCTTGATGTCTGCTTCCAACTCTAGATTAATTCAAGGATCTACCAGTCCTTGGTTAATGTACCCAACCAGTTGTGTGCCGCACACATTCGAGAAAGTGGAAAAACATTTTAGAAAAATTACTGAAAACGTTTTAGAAAATCTGCATGAGCTACACCGACACATAAATCTGATCAAAGGGCAAAAATAATTCTCCATCCATGCATGGTGCATGATGATTTCTATGAGCTGGGATCCTGTAAATTAATGTTATGCAAAATCAAAACAGCTCTGTATTGTTAAATGCCCTTAAGTTACTAATTGTATGTCAAATGTAATAGGGATTGCATCTGTGTATGTATATGTTCAGCTGTATGTATACATAAATTTATTATGTATATTGTAGATTTTCTTTTTCGTTGCTTTCCTCCTTAATTTAGTTGTTTTAGATTTCCCTACGTGTTGAACATCCCTGGGTCGCTGGCTTTGGCCTGATGTGATCTTTCCTTTCTATTGCAGAACCGCATGCACGAATCTCTGAAGCTTTTTGACAGCATCTGCAACAACAAATGGTTCACAGATACATCTATCATCCTGTTTCTAAACAAGAAGGACATATTTGAGGAGAAAATTAAGAAATCTCCACTGAGTATCTGCTTTCCTGAGTACACAGGTAATGAGAAATTTGGCTGTACAGGAGTGTTTAGCAAAAGAACCACAGAACTCTCCCCAGCCAGGCTGATGCTGTAGTGTGTAACAGGCAACGAGGCTAAAGATGCAGAGCTAGAGATCCCATGGGCTTCAGTACAAGTTTTATTTCAGTAAGTGCCAAAGGATCACCCTCATCACGGTCCACTTAAAGCAGAAGGATGACTTGACCCAAGTTCTTTGCTGGCAAAGGACCACCACCACTGATTTGGGTGTCTGATCTGCACCTCACCAGTGTTTGATGCCAAGCCAGCACCCGCAGGTGTGGGGATGCTGTGCACTCCCCAGACCCATGTGCACTGGTTCCCTGTGTCACACAGGATCATGAACCTTCTTGGAGGTCTCTCAGAAAGGTGCAGTGAGTGTAACCATTATAAATGGGTGACTGGTCTCCAGGAGACCAACACACAGCGTTTGTTAGGCTGTCCTCAGCTGGAGTACAGCTTTGTTCTTTCATACCCAACCATGCTCCCTTATGGCCACAACAAGAATCCCTCTGCAGTTCCTGGCCACTTTCTCTACTTCCAGGCACTGTGGGGCTGTAGAATCATCATGATCCTGGAAACATTCATGTCCAGGCTGGATGAGGCTCTCAGCAACCTGACCCGGTTGAAGGTGTCCCTGCTCCCTACAACCACTACATTAGATTAGATGATCTTTAAAGATCCCTTCCAGCACAGACCATTCTATGATTCCATGATCAGCCCTCCGGTATGCAGACAGCAGGTCTCACAGCTTGCTTTCAGCTCAAGCAATACATTTTCATCACATTAGTTGAAGAGTCCCCAGTTTTGCTCTCAGCTTTGCTGACATCAGGGTCTGGACATGAAAAATCCAGTTAATTTCAAGTTAAATGCAGGTAGAAAACAAGGTGTTTCATATTCTGATCTTCCCACACCTCTTAACCCATAGTGCAGGCAGAGGAGAGCCACAGAGAGCCATGCCCTGAGCTTGGCTGGGGAGAAAGAGGCCTTGGTGACCCGTGGAGTTGAGAGCAGGAGCTCTGGGATGGGCAGTGTGCAAGAAGCCCCTGCTGCCTGCCTGGCATCTGACCTGCTAATGATGGGAGTACATCACCCATGCAAAGGCTGCAGCTGCACCCTGCTGCTTCCCTCTGCATCTCACCAGCTTCCACAAACCCTCATTACCATTCTGAGATGGCACAAAAATCAACTTTTATCGTCATGAATTATTTAAACTCACCGGAGACATCCAGATGAATCAAGCCGACAGACAGAGAAGCCAATCTCTTTGTCAGGAAACATAGTTGTGAACCAGGAGTACCAGAAGTGTCACAGTTCTGGGCAGGCCAACAAATTATTAACCAGTGCTTCTTATCTCTGAGCACTTGATTTTTCACTGTGAATAGACAAAAGCGATCCCTCATTGCTGCTTTGCACTGAATGGTCTGTGGCCATGGAGCTGAATAACTCCAGCTGAATTCAGAACATCTGCAGGCTTCCTCTCCAGGGAAGATTTTGGTGTTTGTCACTACCAGCACATTTCAGCCATCTAGTCATCTGCTTGGTCCAGACAGAACCAACATATTCCCAACACATTTGTCTGAAAGAATCTAATCATGGAAATTTCGGTCTTTACAGCTGAGCTCACAATAATGCCTACCCCAGATTTTCCTGGTTGCAAATTAGATTGCTGTGTTTGGATGGCTTGTAGAGCAGCTCATCACCATCTTCTTTACAGCAGAGCTTCTGTATATTGGATGGTTTCTGTCATGTCCTCTTCCCTTCCTTTTTCTCAGTGAAGCAAACCTTCACCTCCCACTCCTTCCTGATCACATTTTGTGCACCTGGTTTTGTAGATCTTCACTGTGGTCCCTCAGAAACCTCAGTCTGAAATAACATTCTTACTGAACCCCTGATGTCAGAGAGACTAGAACAAGAAGGAATGTCATTTTTCATATTCCTTCCCAAGCTATCCCAGCCCAAGAGGGAAGTTCAGTGGGGAAGGCAGATATTCATACACATGGAGCTAAGCTCTTGGCTGATTTTACAGAGGAAAACAAAGCTTCTGTCTGGAGCACTTCAGCTGCAAGTGAACCAAACCAAACTTTTCCAAGTTTCAGGGAACCCCAAAGCTGCTCTAAATTCCTTCAAGATGCTTTTCTGGAAGCTGGGAGTTCTCACAGTGCCAGAGATCCTCAACAGATCTCCTGTCCCTCTTGTGCCATCAGAGAGGCAGGAAGTCTGACTGCTGAAAGTCCTTTTACTGACCCAGCAGGGATCTGAGGTACGGAGTTCTCTCACCCCAGGTGTTCAGCAATGCTGTTATGAGTTAGCTGTGCTAACATTCAGCCCAGGCTTTAGACCCAAGCACACACTTCAGCCTGCTTGCCCCTGCTTTGCTGGCCACAGCCCACAGGATGAAATCCTCGTGGCCTCATGAAAAAGCAACATTATTAGAATGTTGCCCTGGAGTTAAAAAGAATTATTTGATAAAAGCCTATAAACTGAAAAAAAACAGACTTTCAACATCACAAGTAGGTTCCACAAAATGCTTTTAATGAAATGAAATTTCTGATGTCCATTAGTTCTGCTGACAGGGAATTATTAGAAGACTGAATTCACGAAATTTGCCTGCTGTTTGCTGGAGCACTGTTTCCATCCCCTTAATTCATGCATGCTTTTAACTAATCCACAATGCTTAGTGAAGCAGCAGCAGAATCCATGGCTTGATTTAAACCAAGCTGGCATTAGTGATTCTCTGCTCTCCTAGACAGAATCAAGCATCTAAATCCTCATGTCTTTGAACAACCAACTTCCTGTTCATAAAATACCCTCCTGGTTGTGCTCAGCACATGGAACTGATTCTTTACACAGCTCTTCATGGAAGAACCTGCTCCCAGAAGAAACCCTGCTTCTCTTAATTCACACTTTTTCTCAAGCCCCATGGTCTTCATGACATTGTGTCTTCAACTAGCAGTGCATGTGTGTTCAAGTGGGATTTCCCAGAGCAGCTGCCTTCCACCACAGCACATCTCCAGTCCCAGCAAGCCTCTCTCTAGCAAATAACAGCATTTCCCATCAGTAAAGCATCATGGAGAGGAAGAGACACAAAAGCAGAAGCAGTGTTACCATTGTGGAGCCTTTTGGGGGTCAGGCAGTGCCTGGCAGTGCTGGGAGCTGCACTCCAGGCCAGCCAGAGCCTTCATCAGCCTTGAGGAGGTGCCCAAGTGGAGCCGTGTGTGTGAGCTGGCCAGGGGAGAAAGGATCTGCTCATTTGCATGACTCCTTCTAAGCTTTTTTTAACACAAAATTTGAGGATTGATGAGGTTTGGCACAGGCATCTCTATATATCAAAACAAGAAACTCCCCACAGTGTGATTTTAGTCATGGCTGTAGCAGAGAGTACTGCAATCCTAATTCCTGAAAAAGAAAGGGACATTTTGTATCAGTCTTTTTGTTGGGTTTTGAGGATTTTTTTTTTGAGAAAAGCCCATTTTTCTCTGTAACAGAGGCTGGATCTTTTTGTGTCCCTTTCTCTTAATGATTTAGGAAAAGGAGGGCACAGCTACCAATACTGCCCTCAATTCATGTTAACTCTTCCATCAAAATGGAAGCTTTAATAAAAAAAAAAATCTAAAAAGGGGAAAAAAGCTAAGCCTTTTCCCTAGGTCAAACACTTACTGCATTTCTGGCAGGTTTCTTCCCTTTTTTTGTCACCATGATGTGGAATTTCTTCCATCACAGCCTGTTTAACACTCAGCTCCCCCATCCATTTCGTCTCTGTAGACTATAAACAGCAACTCAGAATAAAAATACAGCTGAGCTGACAGTCAGGGAGCATCTCCTGCCTGGCAGCAATCCTGGCTGGTAGTGGTGTCCATCCCTGAGATGGAGAGAGGACACCTGGGCTGCAGCAAGCTCCCCACATCCCCACTCACAGGGGATTCCTGCAGACTCCCAAGTCCTGGCGCTGCTTTAACCCGTTCTTTCCCGTTTCTCTCGGCTCTCCTGCAGGCCCCAACGCTTTCACGGAGGCGGTGGCGTACATCCAGACCCAGTACGAGAGCAAGAACAAGTCTGCCAACAAGGAGATCTACACTCACATCACCTGCGCCACCGACACCAACAACATCCAGTTCGTCTTCGACGCCGTCACGGATGTCATCATCGCCAACAACCTGCGGGGGTGTGGACTCTACTGAAGCTCCCTCCTCCCCGGGCACCCGCCCGGAGCATCCTCCGGTGCCGCGGACAGGTCCTCCCTTTCCTTGTTTTTTCCTCCTCAGAAGATGACAAGGAAGAAATACATAATTCCCTCCTCCCGTCCCAGAAAACTCTGCAGCAAGTTCTGCTTTCCCCAGACCCGTTTTATTTTATTTTGGCTCATTTTTGGTTCATTCCCTTGCTGCCCCGTTCTACTCCTCCGTTCCAATTCACAGTGTCGTGCAGGGAGCTAACGCATTTCCCACAAAGTGCATTTCAACTGCCAAAAGACAAAAATACTTCAGTTTTAAAGAGAGAAAAAAATCAAAGCCTTAAAATACTGGTCAGGAACAGTGTAGTTTGGAACCAAAACTTTTTTTTTTTTTTTGCTTGAAAATTAAGGGATATTGTTCATTCTCCTGGTTATTTGCCTTTTTTTTTTTTAAACACTATTCCTTTGGGAAGTGCTAAATACAACCTGCTTATTATGAGGGTACCTTACAGCTCCAGTTCTGACCCAAAGCTGGAGGGTTTGGTGTTGAATGCAGCCACCATAGCTTGGATTTGTACATTCTCCTTTTTTCCAGCTATTTGAACAAGTAAAACAGCCATATCGAGTTCAGCTGGTGTCTGAGTAACAGGGACACAGTAACAAAGCCTACTAAGCCTTGTCTAAAAGCATTCATTACTGGTAGCAGTTTTACCTCAAGTTTTTCAAAATTAATGATAAAATTTATCTAGTGGTTGCTGTAACCCATTTCTGAGGCACTTCCATGGAGGCCATGGAGGCACTGGGCTGGGACCCCTGGAGTGTAGGCAGTGAAGATGTCCTGGGAATGGTGTCCTGATGGAGACTCCACACTCAGTGGCATCCTGACAAGGAATCCAGCCTGGGAACCTTTCCCACAGCACCTCCCAGCCTTAGTGATTGAGCAGAGGTGATGCTCCTGCACACATGCAGCATCACTTTCCAAACTTCAGCCTTTAAATGCTGGGGTGCACGAAAAATATTGAGCCCTGGCTTCCTGTAGGCAGAGTCTGACATTCAAGTGCCTGAGATGGGGAAAGGTGCTTTGGGAAACCTCCCTGTGTTTGGGTAGCAGCAAAGTGTGCAAGAACCTCGTGACCCTTCATTGCCCCTTGGGCACCTAAACCCCTTGAGAAGCCCAACCTTGTGTTCTGAGCCTCCTTGGCTGAGCACAAGCCAGTGGCTTTCCTGTGTCACCTCCTGCCTGAGCATCCCAGATTGACAGCTCCAGGGTTGGTGTCTCCAGTCAGGGCATTCTTTAGCAGTATCTATATTGAGGTGGATGGTTAACACTGGCAAAGGAGAGCTCAGGGAGCTGATTTGAGCCAAGTGATGGAGTAGGAAAGAAAAGTGCAAGGAAAGGAAGAAGGAAGGGCAGGGGAGAGGAGTGGGAAGGGCGAGGGTAGCACCCAGCACAGCAAAACTGGGGGCTCAGAGAGGACAAATGGAGGTGGGCTGAGGTACATGTGGCCACCACCAAGAACTCGGGGTGCTGCTGAGCTGAAGGCAGAAGGGAATGTGAGAGGTGGGGTGTCACCTCTGTGGACATGGAGGGACTCTTACAAGTCCACCCCAAAAGCTGGTTTATTGTCTGGGTGAGACAGCCACCTCTGAGGTCCCACTCAGGGCCCACCTCACCTGGGGGCAGGTGGGCAATGTTAATCCTTGCCTTTTCTCTGCCTCTCTTAGAAGTCCATTATCTTGAAAAACACGCAGGCTGGCCACAAGTTCAGTGTCCTCTCTTGGGAGCCTGATCTAGGATTGGTTTCAGGTCTCAGGAGGTCTCTGCAGGGCTGTGGTTGAGAGGGACAAGATCTCTTCTCCCTGTGCCCATTTAAGAGAGATGGTGTGAGAGCAGCACAGCCCGAGGGGAGGGCCCAGGTGAGCGTCAGTGTGCAGGAGGCAGTGACAGGAGCACATATGGTGGCACAGGAGGGAGAGGACAGTGGGAGAGGCTTAGGGAACATTTTGGGAGAGAAGCTGCTGAAGGGAGACGAGGCAGATTGAGACAGCAGGGAGGATGGGAAGAGAAGGGCACCTGGGAGCCAGAGGAGAGTCGCCATCAGGGGCTGTGCTCTGCTAGGACAGTGTTTGTGACAAATCCCCAGCCAGGGATGTGAGCACCCTGAGGCAAGCAGGGAGGGCCTGCAGAGGAAAAGGAGGTGTCTGTCACCCATCCAAGCAGCTGCAGCCCGGCATGGCTGGTAGCTGTCAGTAACCCCTAGAGAGCATTAAATGATGCATTTACTATTGTACAGCAAGGACCTGCTGCTGCTCTGCTGGGCACTAACAGCAATAACACAACTCCCTGCCTCCCCTGCTCTGGCACAAGCCAGCAGCCACCTTTCTCTTCACCATCTCGGCCTTAAAATGCCTCCAATGACATTGGCTCCTGCAAAGAGCTGGCCAGCAAAACCAGGAGCTCCTCTCTGCTTCTCATGCCACAGCCCACCCACACATCTGTCTGAGCCCCAGCAGCAGCACCCAGCATCTCGTGGGTGTTGTGTCAAACCCAGGGCAGAAAAACCACACATTGGCTACATTTGGTACTTAACCTGTGTAACCACTGGACCCAAAGTAATGATGGCTGGTGCTGGCAGGGATGCAGGTCTTTATTAAGCTCTGTAAGAAGACTTTGATCAGAAGCACTGGAGTTTTGGAGATTTTCTCTTCCCACCCCTCCCCTTGCTGTGAATGATGTTTTATCCAAGCAAATAAGTAACAGAAGCTGTTCCCAGGGAAGGCAGCACCACACCAAGGCTTTGTGAACTCCTAGCATAAAGCAAACAGGAATATTTTTGGTAAAGACAATTTAAATTAATTCAACTCCAAACTGCCAAATGCAGTCAAGTGGCCAGTGCTGGCTCAGTGCACTTTACCACTCTCCAGGCTGGATTCAGTTAACCCATTCCCAACTTTGCCAGTTGGGAGGTCCAAGCCCCCTCTGCAGCTCCAGCAGGTCGCTGGCACATTGGTGACCATCAACAGCTGGTGCCCCATGGGGAGACAAGGACAAAAAGCAGAGGAAATGTTGCCACACAAAGCCTCTTCTTTCATTTTCTTTGGCATATTGTGTGTCTAAAGCTTCATCTCAGCTGCTGCTGCTGACATTCCCTCCCTCACACGAGTGTCATGAGGATTCACTGACAAATGCTGGAAACAGCCTTTGGAAGATGAAATGCTTCCAGTGTTAAACACTACAATTTCTCCTGCTTGATGGCCACGTACAGATTTGTGTCTCCAGAACGCCTGCCAAATTATTACTCACTGCTGGCTTCTGCATCCTCCAAAGCCCTTCCTGACAAATGTGCCTTCCACAAGCAATCTTTTGCCCCGTGCTTTTTCTAAACACCAGCAATTCTTGCAGCAGTTGCTTAAAAAGTACCTTGAAATGCATTGCCTGCTTTCAAAAGCCTTTTCTTAACTGCCCCTTGTGCTTTGCAATTGCCATACTCTGAATCCCGACCCGTGGAGATCCAGAGCTGTATTTCATTTGCAGTCTCCACATAGCAGGGATATTGCAACTGGTACAGTTGCATCAGAAATCCTACCAGGGCATGGAGGATAGATTTTAAAAGCACAAAATTGAAACAGCTATGTATCCACCCTGCTGCCCTTCAAAGCTAATGTGGAAATCTGCAAAAAAAAAAAAAGCCCTTTTTGGTATGCAGAAGGTTTTTTTAACGACTCAGATCACTGTTCCAGCAACAGAAGCATCCGAAGGGGTGTCAGCATTGAAAGCAGCATTAGCAACTCATGATGAGCTTCAGACAGCAGCAAAAAGAAACAAGGAAGCTCCCTGTCGGCTTGCTTCGTAGTCAATGACAGGGTCGGTTGTGGAGCCATGAGACCACAAAAATGCAAATAGCTTCTTTATTTAAACAACAATTTCAATGAAATAGAGAAACCCGTACAGGCAAAGTCTTGCAGCGCTGCCGGGCTGAGCTGCAGAGCCATTGGGAGGATGCGGTAGCTGGGCTGGCTGGGAGAACGAGCAATAACCACGCTCTGGGAAAGCACACACTAAAATCCAGCCCCAGACTGCCAAAGGCAGATTTTAATGTTGCATACAGAAGTGGCACACAGTCTGTTTCTCAGAGGGGGCCGGAGGAGCCCGGCGGAGCGGCAGGACAGCGGGAGCGCTCGGCGCGGCCATCTGGCCCTGCCGTCTGCGGAGCATCCCTGCTGCCCTGCGCCCGCACGGCCACAGCCCTGCTGCTGCCCGCTCGCTCTTCCAAATGCATCTCTCTCAGGAGCTCTGTACCGGAATTAGCTCCTAGCCTTCAGCCAGCTTTCCTGGGTGGCCGGCCAGCCTGTCCCTCCATGGAGGGGAGAGCAGCCTCAGGAGGAGCCCGCCGTGCCTCCTCTGCTGATGTGATTTTGTTTTACAGGACACTAAGTATTAATGAGGGCAATCTTTAATGTCTGTTAAAATATATCTGATGGGTTTAATCTATCATGGCATGAGCCCAGTGCTTGTCTGCAAGGGAACAGGCCTTGTTCTCAGTCCAGGAGTGCAATCTCCAAGAGGTCAGGATGTGATATAGAAGATGTCGTTTTGCCAGAAGGTCCTGTGTGCCCAGCCTCACTACACAGCTCAACAAGGCAGACATTGCCGCTGGGGGGATTTGCAGTCAGTGCTGGGATAGGGACCAACCCTGCACTGTTAGTTTGTGTTACATGTCCCAAGCTTCTTGTGGTCACAAAGTCTCCTGGCACCAGGGAGTTGCTGAGTTCCTGGGAAGAAGGCTGACCATCTGTCAAGTGAGTTAGGGAAGCTTATATTCAGTGTGCTTGGGTGTTTTCATGTTTTGTCTTGAGGCTTTCCACCAAAAACTCCACAACCATTTCCAAGGAGACTAAAACACTCATTAGTGACCTGACACTGGACACATCAAGGTCAGTAGAAATGGTGTTACTGAGCATCACCCTGAGCACCCAGACCCATCACTCACTTGTATCCTCAGTGCACACATGAGAAAGCA